CCACTTTCCCCAATATAAAGCATGCCACATCTACTGCATGAAATGCAGTAGATGAGATGGGAGAAGGTGCACGTGAAATGGGAATTAACATGGTGTTGAGATTTTGGTGCCGAAATGGTATAGCAGCAGAATCTATACTAAATCACATGCAGGTTTTGCATTGGGGCAAGGAAACGTGCCATTCTGTGACGACGAATCCTGTGATAGGGGGCTATGAACTAGGGTTTCATGGATATTTTGGCTGTGTCGAAAAGAGACTAAGGGGTTAACGGAGAAAATGGAAAATGTTTTAGCCCTTCAACTTTCAGAGTCGTTCTTCAAAATATGGAAATTCTTCCTAATGTAACTAATAAGGATTTGACATCCATGGTGAAAATGAATTTGCGAGTGCCATGAAAATGAATGTTCTGAAAGATTTGGACAGCATGTTTGGTATATCCTTGATATAGAATGGTAAGTCCTTAACCAAGGGTGCCATGACATCAAGAAAACTTGAGACTAATTCGGTGGGACAACCACAAGCAGAGACAAATTGGTCTACCTGGGTTGTCAAGTTTGTGAATTTTGGGAAAGAAGTACACACGACAGGTGCGCAAGGTGTGGTGGATATGAGGTTTTTGGCAGTCTCAGGGAGATCACCAGTGGCGACAAAGCTATGAATGGTCGTAAAAATGGTGGTTTGATGAGTGGAAGTCAAATTGTTTGGATTTAGAAGCTTTGCTCGCTTCGAGAAACGAGTAAAGTCTAGAACTGAACACGCGAATGAATTGGATGATGTTCTTTTCATTCGCGAATCCTTTTTCAGACGCAGAAAGCACACACGAAACGTCGAATTTCTCCTTATATTTTTCAGGTTGTTGCATCCCTATTAACAAAAGCTTTGTTATTATTGGCACTACCTACACGGGCACAGACAGTTCAAGCATATAGCACTATTGTAGTACTGTAAATTTGGTGCGCGTACCATTTTTGTTGCTACATGCCAAAAATTGAACGTATAGTAGTTATAATCGGGCTTCTACAGTGTTTGTGCAATGCATGCATGCACAAATTTTTAGGCGAGGCAAAATTACATGCTGTTGAAATGGCTTTAGGCCTATATATACATAATTTGAAATAGTCATGCATATACTCTATGTATGATCTGCACTCAGCAGTTGTAAAAATAATTAATAATATAATAAAAATAATAATAATAATAATAAAATAATTAATAATGATTTTTTCTGCACAGTGGAATTTTAAAGATAGCCGAAGTTGTGAGCAGATTTGAGTGTTTAAGCAGTTTTGAAAAGACAGTTTCTTGTTTTGGATTCAAACTGCTTACCAAGGTGAGATACATGTAATATTTAGGCATGGTCATCTTATATATACACGCTTTTAATATTAATTTTCCGATAATTCATGACGTCATATTTTCTATATGTTTTACATATATACGGTCGTTGAAGGTTTTGTCCCGGAAAAGAATGGTAGAAAAATGATACTGGTACCAGTATAAGAGCGAAATTTTTCGTGGAATAACATATCCAACATCCGCTAAAATCCATTTGGAGAAAAACGTTTTATTGGGCCACTTTTGTCTGAAAACCCATGGTAAAGTAAAAAACGTAATTGTTTAGTTTCTCAAACGTGAAAACGAATAGTAGCAGTGGAAAAGCATGATGAAAAGCTGATGAGGAAAATGGTCTACGATTGTCATTCTGCATGGTGTATGAAAATTAGTGCTGACGCCTCAATTCCGCTGACTTGCAGTTGGGTTACAATAAGCATTACGTAATAAACAACGATTGATCAAACTTTGTCCACCTTCCGAAATCCATAATGTTATTAAAATGGCTTGTCCAGCTTTCCAAAGTGAACACACTGAATGCATGCACACTTAATCTATGTCAGTATTATATTATTGACAACAGAAAATTAGCGTTTATTATAATGCTGTCCATATACACGGTGTATAAAAAAACCTGCATGAACAGATTTGAAATTGCTTTCAATTTCGCAAAACAGCTATTAGTATCCATGCAGTTCTTGATATATATATATATATATATAGCTTCTTTAGGTACTTGTAATGTAGAATAATGAAAACAATTTCTCGAACTCAAATTTTGTAAACCAGGGAGGGGTGTCCTTTCCAACAAACTAAAAAAATGACTTGCGCACGAAAATTGAAAGCTATATAATCGTATTTTGAGTTAATGGGTGAAAAATGTGTTGGGTGTTTAATTGCTGCACGAAATTGCAGACAATTTGCTTCAGTTTAAACCCCTTAACTATTCACGCAAACTTACATTTTTTTCTAAAAATCAGCCTTTCGCATGCTTAATTAATGCCTTTGCCTAATTTGCATATGTCAGCATGCAAGTTAGGTAAAGCCATTAATTAAGCATACGAAAGGCTGATTTTTTAGGGAAAAATGAATAGTTAAGAGCGTGTGTCTCTAAAAACCGCCCACTGACTTGGGGCTCGAAAAATAAATTTCTTCGAAACTTTCACCGTGAACTACATTTA